AAACAAAAAACACAAAACAAAATTAACAGGGTGAGGGTAAAAATTTCAGTGTGATAAGCGAGGGAGGGGAGGTGGCAGCAGCAAGGGTGAATATTAAGGGCTTTACTCCCAGAGCTTCCATGGTTATAAAGCTCTGGGGCATAAGCCTCAGTCATTAGCATTTGCCTGATCAGGCTCCCTTTGCTCCATTAGGACCTAGAATATGAGTTGACGGACTTGTGGCCCAGAGGTTTTATTTTTCTTGGGCCAGTGCATTGAAACATGCGACAGTATTCTCTGCCGTCGATTATTCATAAAAAAGAAGAAAGAAAACATAGTTCAGGATTTTTCAGTACTAAGAGTCTAGGTCCAGATAATTTTAAAGACTTTCTCTAAGGATCTGTGCTCACTGACTTTCACATAGATTCGTTTAAAAATTGGCATATCCCTCCAGGGTGAGAATAGCTCACTGAGGAAGAACAATTCATTATAGTCTGTGATGGATCTGCTTCGAGTTTAGCAGGGAAATGAGTTTGCTGCTCTGTGAGTAGAAGTTATGGGACAGATGTAGCTACGAGCACCTTTTTTTTTTTTTTGGTACTGGGAATCAAACACAGGACCTTGTGCTTGCCAGGCGGATACTTGTGCCACTGAGCTATATCCCCCAGCCCAGGAACTTTCTATTCATTCCTGTTTTTCTGTACCAGTTCTCAACACAAATATTCCCATCCTGAAATCCCTGGCTAGAAGGTAGAGGTGAAACTGGAAGCAAATCAATGTAAACTCACATAGAGAGAAGGGGAAGGTTCCTAATGACGGCAGCATGCAAGAAAGAGTTTCTGGAGCCACTTGCCTTGGGCGGGTGTTGTACCAGGAATCATTTGCTTGCATGGGTTATTCTCTGCTTTGAGATTGTCCATAGAGGATGAAAAAGTCAGATTTGCGAAAGTGCTAGGGTTATATTAAGTGTTACATGTTCAGGCTATTGTGAGTATTCAGAGATACTCCAGAAATTAGAGCAAGCTCTCTCAGCCAAGACTCAGATTCTTCCACTGCCTTAGGACAATTACCTAACTTTCTTGTACTGGTGAAATTGCCCTAAAATGGAAATAAACAGTAAGGCTAGTGTATTCTAGATCCTAAAGATATCATTTATCTTAAATGCAAAGCTAAATTATTCAAAAATGCGAATTCTTTTGGCCGGAATGTTCCTCTCCTGTCTCTGTGGAAATCAAGGACAGTTGTTAACTCTCAGGACTGTCTTTAATTATGATTCAGAGCTGAGCTTTATTCCGCAACGCTGCCAAGACCAAGTCCTGAAATTGGGGTGCCAGCTGGGTCCTTTGGGAAGCCTTTGGGGGCCACACATACTTTGTTTTTATATGATCGTGTGGAAGCCTAAATTTGTTTTTACCTAACTACAACTATAAAAGCCAGTATATAATCCGTATAGATTGTAAAGATATAAAAGCAAAGTCTGCTTCAGACTAAATTTAAAACCATTATGTTTGATTTGAAAATGGAACAGAAAAGAAAGCAGTGGTCAGCTTCACTTGTTTATAAATCACTGTGCCGTTTTATCGGGTTCAGTTCTTTGATATTCTGCTTCTGGTCTGCTTGCTGTCCGGCAGGATGCAGATATGCGAGACTTTTTTTATCTTGTTGCTTAATTCTGCATTCAGTGCTGCTTCCTCTGACTTAAAAATGAGTTTTATGCTAGCTTCAGCTTTGTGCTAGAACAAGTAAGGAAAAGAAAGAACAAAGGCAAGACAGAGATTAGAGCTCTAATTAATAAGTTTTTAGAACAAAAGGTTTTAATTCAACATAGAAACTTTGGAATGGTTTACTTAATAATTATGGCAATTTCTTGACTATGTAGGAGACACTTAACCTTTATAAAACAACAAGATAGAGTCCAGAAATGATATCTCTCAAGTTATGTTTTATAGACAGTCAGATGCAGGAAAAGAAGAGAAACCCATGTGAATGGACATTCAAATATGTAATTATCCTTTGTTTAAATTGAAGTTGTACTTTATGGCTTTATGTACCTTATATAGTTCACTGCATGCATGTGTGACTTTACTGAGCTAACACTGGGAAGTGTTTGTGACTAAACAGTTACGTGTGTGGGAGGGTATTTTTCTATATTTACCAGCTTCTGAAACCGAACAGATAGATAAGCTGTCACTAACTGATTTAGGTGCATTGTGGGCAGGCATCAAGACTGAAGGTGGATTGTCACAGTCGCAGTCACCTGGACAGACGGGATTTCTCAGCTATGGCACAAGCTTTGGTACCCCGCAACCTGGACAGGCACCATATAGCTACCAGATGCAAGGTCTGTATACACCTGATACAGCTGTTTTCCTTGACCCTGTAGGCTGACAGCGAATTTCTAAAGTAGAGTCTGACATTCCCTGCAGTAGTGGATAGAGAGGGCTAGTCTGAAAGACAGGACTCTGCCTATAGTTTGCCTCGTCCCTTGCCGGCTCTCTGGACCTGAATATCCATATTTATAATGTTAAGGAGTTAGACTGAACAAGCTGCAAGTTTCTTTTCCAAGAGCTCTAAAATTTCTTGTAAAGCCAAACTTTTCAGTTTTGTGTCTTATCAATTAGAGAAATGAGTGAAGAGTAAAACAAAGTCAGTCATGCCACATGGTGCATGGTAAAAAACTCCTACGCTGCATGTTATCAGCCAGATTTCCTAAATGGACTGTGTCTCTTTATTTTCATGGTAGAGTGGGGGTTGGGAGGTAGCAGTAATAGCTCTGAGATATAGAATGTGATATGTGTTGACTTAATAATCTATCAAAGATCAGTAGATCAGTGTTATAGCTACTCAGAGGATCTTCAAGATAATGACGCCACTGGGGATGTAGCTCAGCACCACAGTGCCTGTCTGGAGAGCACAAGGTCCTGAGTTCGATTCCCGGTACCAAGAAAAAAAGAAAGATAATGAAGCCAAGAACAGTCCTCTGGTTCTATTTCGAAGCTATCAACAAAGTATATAATTAATGCAAATACAAATCAAGTGGAATAACAACTGAGAGTTTATATTACCAGAGTTTTTTTCAATAATACATAGGTATTATCTATAACTAGCAGATTGTTATCATGCATATATATCTGTAAATCATTTTAAAATAGGCCTCATAATTTAAGCATTTGCCTAATATCTTGGTTTTAACCACAAATTAATTAATAAACTATATCTAATGTTCTAATAGTGCTGTCATAGTTGAATTGAGTCTGTAATTAGCACATTTGATTTATAGTTTTCATGTTTTATATCTATTATCTTATTCTTTGTTACATTAATAATATTCATTACAAATAAATTAGAAGACAGAGAAAAATAATACAATAATATATCCCATATTTTGTTTATTATGTATTATTATATTTTACTAGGTATATAGTATAAGATTATTTTATAATACTGATTGCAATCTGCTATTTTCTATAACAAATATATCATGACCATCTTTTCACATTAATCTGTTCTTTTCTATATCATAGTCTTAATGGGTGCACAATATTCCTAGGTATATCCTATTTAACTAATCTTCTGTTATTGGACATCTGGAGTAACGCTATGCATACCTTAACTACATTTTAAATTATTGCTTTCCCTCCATGAATTCTCTGCCCATCCTGTTTAGTGAAGCTCTGTATCATTTCTAATTTTTTAAATTATTTTTTATTCTCTTTAATTGTTTTGATCAATCTTGCATTCCTACATCTGGTAATCTGAGCAACTTCAGTGAAGATAACAATATGTAATATAGCAACCACTGTTAATTCCTAGCATTTTGTTTTGAAACCCTGCACCATTTTTATTGTTTTTGCTTTGTTTTGGTTTTGTCTATGTTGTTGTTATTTTGTTACTGTTTTTCTAGTCTCTTTGAAATTAAAAAAATGGATGGAGAAGAAAAAAGTTATTGCTTTGTTCCTTTGCAAAAATTGTAGTGTAGGATTTCTAGGTGCACTGTTTTACATTCTTTTGAGAGTTTCTGAGGTATTTATGCAAAGAAGCATAAATATATGCTGTGTATTAGAGAGCACATATTGGATGGTATCTTTAGAAGAACTGACATTTTGACAGTACAAGATCTTGTTTTCATGTGCATTGTTTTAAAAGTGAAGAGATAAATATTTTTCTTCTTTTCACTGGTATTATTTATCTTTGTCTTATAATTTCTATTTTGTTTTGTTTTGTTTCCATTTTTTGATACAGGGTCTCACTATGTAGTTTAGGCTGGCCTTGAACTCACTGCATGGCCCAGGCTGGCCTCAAACTTGTGGCAATCCTCCTGCCTCAGCCTCCCAAGTGTCTTTTTTCCTTTTTTAGAATTATTTAAAGATGAAAGAATGAAAACGTTTTAACAAACACACATACATTTACAAAATAACACAAAAACAATACAAGCAATACAGAATTTCAGATAAGGTGATAGAAAATTAACAATGGTTGTTATACTAAGATTCTTAATCTTTTCATACTGTTTTATAAATATATTTTCAGTTTATAATTTTTTAACTTTTAGCAAGCTAGGTTTTATGAACCAAGATTCACTAATCTTTTCACATTTGATGTTATCTTTGGCAGAAAAAGCCTTCATGGTAAAGTTTTGATGTATTTGATGGCTATAAAATAAAAACTGTCTTGTAACGGGCAGCATCTATTGTTAGAAAGCTGCTACTCTGTGCCAGATTCCAAATCATTCAGGCTACCTTGGGAAAGAACTGAGTTTCTACACATGCTGAATATCAATTGAGGAAAGGAATAAAAAGAATAGTGACAGTGTGACTTCATTAATGAATTTAACAGTCTTAGGGGCTAGTAATGAAAGAAATCATAAGGCAGACAAAAATCTGTTTGGTCGCAGAATTTTCATTTTTGTCGGGGAGAAAGACAACCACATAACTGTAGATTTTTTCATGAGTTGAGAGGGAAATAAGTAGGTTACCGCGGTGCAGGACTATTGGCCGCTGGACATGGACCCCTGTGGGAGGAGAGGCAGTCTGGGATGAGAGAGAGGCAGGTGCAGTGTGCCCCGTGAGCAGAGGTGGCTAATGTGTGGCTCTGGGCCAGAACCTACCTGCAGCCTCTCAGTTACGAGGGCGTCATGAACTAAGTACAGGAACTAAGCATGTTCTCATTTAAAAACCTTCATACTCAGTCAATAGTAAATTTTATGCTTGTTAATTTTTAAAAATGGACTACAATCTGTCTTTTTTATTTCATGCTTCCAGCAATGTGCTATTAGTTTATTTTTCTCTATTGTTAACTTGTAAAGGAGTGGAGTATCTCTTACTTGACTGCTTGAGAACAGAAATGTTCTGGATTTCAGATATTTTCAGAGGTTTAGGATATTTGCATGTACGTGATATGATATCCTGGCAATGGGAACCAAGTCAAAGCATGACATTCGCTGTGTTTCAGGTATACCGTATGCAGAGAGCCTGAGGGTCACTGATAGCTCCCTTGTGTGTTGGCTGTGACTTATCACGTGAGCTCAGGTGTGGAATTTTCCATGGGTGATGTCACACTGGCACACAAAAAGATTCAAGTTTTGGAGCCTTTGTGTTGGATCGTTCTTTTTTTTTTTCTTTTTTAGAATTTTCAATCAATTTTATTTACTTTTTTGTACGTCTATATGAAAAACCCCTGTTTTGGGGCTTTTTAAATTAAAATTGGTGTGAGCTATCCCAAGGGCTTGGAATCTGGCTGGAGGATGCTTGTGAAATTGGTATATTTCTTTTTAAAATGTAATTTAAATTTTTTTATTTTAAAGAGAATAAAAAGATAAAAAAGATATAAAATTTCAAAACAAGATGATAAGAAATTAACCATGGTTATTATGTTGCATATTGTTATCTTCAAAGTAGTTCTTGATAGTTTCCTTTTTGTGTTTCACCTTGCTCTTCTCTCAAAGCAAAGGCTGACGCAGCAGAGATTGTGCATCAGAGGACTCACCAGCTCTCAGAGTATAGCACAGGGTCAGAATAGCAAAGAGAGGAAGGGGAAAAGGAAATCCTTAGCGGGGAAAGCTCTTGATTTTTGAAGAGAAGTATAGACATGCATAGCACTAAAGTAGGGACTGCTTTATAGCCATAGCTTTTGTTACATCTAGACTTACTCGGCATCACATTAAACTTTTTAGTGTCTTTGTACATCCTTGGTTGGATGATCTTTAGAGTGCGATTTCAAAATTCATTTTCCATGGCTGAGTTGTTATTTTATATGGACAATTCTTTAATGGTAATTCATTCACCTTTAAACTATCGGATATAATATGACTTCCGTATATCAGGGTAGATAATTATATGTGATTGAGCTTGAAACCGAACTTGCCAATCTGATGATAGATAATGGTATACAGAATCCTACAAAATACGTATGGCTAGATTTGGGTGCATATTGAAATTTCAGTTTGTACTTCTTATTATATTAAATATTAAGTATTAAGTGGAATAGGAAAAATACTTTTCTATTAGTAATTCTTTGCCTAGTTGTGGGAGTGTTTCTACCTTTGAGTGTCTTTTCAACAAATTTTTTGAAAATGGAGTAATTTCTATGTCTAAAATTATTCTCAAAAATCCTCAAATTCTACTGATCCTACAAGAATCCTAGCCAGTGATTTTTGTTTGTATCAATTTCATCTTATGGTTGGAATCTTGAAGAAGGGTGCATTTATTTTGTCATCTGGGGATATTTTTGCCTACTTTGTACTCTGGGAAGATATTTTCAACCTTTAAAATATAGAGTATGGCGATTAGCTATTCAGAGATTTACCTGCTAGGATTTACTGCTTTCCCCCCAGCTTGTCCCACCCAATGAGACTGTCCCATGTTGCCCGATGGGACAGTCATACATGTACAGCCCCTTCATGAATGTGTTAATAATATTAGAATTTCATAATAATAGAGAAACAGTTGATTCTAGTAGTCCAGAATCAACTGAACTGTCATGTGTGTGCTTCCTGTAAGTGCTACGCTAGTTGATTTAAAGAGCACATGTGAAGATGTCCTCTTTGGACCTATCAGACTCAGACAGATTGGAGTAAAGATCCAATGAAAGCTTGAGAACTGGTTAACAGAATAGTTCTGGAGCCACACCATGGGCCAGTGGTTCTGCCACTGTCCTCTGTGGGCTTTCAACATGAGCTGTAACTTGTTCCCAGCTCTGTTTCACAGCTTAAAGATGGGAGTGACACCTACTCCCACACTAGTATTGTGAGGTTTAACTGAGATTTCTCTCAGGAAATCAGTCTGACCAATATGTGGGACATAAGAAGAATGCAAATGGTTGCTTTCATCATCACTGTTCTCA